GATTACTGCCTCAAGGAATGTAGGTCCAGCGGAGCTGTCACCAGATGTCGATCTTGCAATAGAATGCATGTTTAGTTTAAATGACGCAGTTTAGCAATGGGACCAATTCGATTGACAAGGAATGACAATCTTGTACGTCGCCGCGCTTCTTGCATTCAAGGAATGACCCGGTGGGAGGAGGTTGCGTCGGCGAGACCCAGCCTTTGTGCGCAGACCCCAATACATAATACCTGCAATCGAAAAACCTCTCAGTATCGATACCCGCGAATCGCAGGCACTGCACAGCAAGGGCAACACAATTGTATCGACCCTTGCGCATACGCTACTGTTGCAACTGCATTGCCGCGTCAAGTGTAGTGCAGTGCATTGAACGGTGATGACCGCCGAATACACTGGATGGCCAACTGGATCGCGACCTCAAGTTGCCCGCTTGCCATACGCTGGATCGCTCGATGAATACACTGGCTGAGCTCGAGAGTCGAGTCGAGTCGAGTTTACGGATGCAGTAGGGGACTTTTGGTGGCTCGATTTCGGTTTTCCAAAATAAATTCACCACCATGACGTGGCACTCTGTGGGGTAAGTCGCATTTCGTTTTGGATTGGTAAAAAAACAAGCTTATGAAATTAGCTACGCCGCCAAGTCTTCGTTGTGTCATAGCGTCGTCAACTGAGCGTGTTGAAACTTAATTGACGAAAGTACATTGGCTATATTACACCATGGGATGCCACCCTTGACTTAACGACGAAATCGACGTCCGCAAGATTCGCTCCGCCAATGGAACCTCGTGCAAATCGCAGTACGCCGTATACGCGGAGTACTTAGCATCCACGTCGCCGTAGGACTTGTCGTTCATCATCATCAAGTCGTCCTCGAGCAAGAACCGACAGGGCGGCGTCACTGTCTCGTAGACTGAAGTCCGTTGATCGTGCTTGCAAAACGACTGAACGCGAGCGGGCTGCTGCTGGACGCACGCACTGCAAAAGAAGAAGAGCGTCTTGGGACACATTTGACACATGCTGCGGCGACCGACGATCGGCTCGCAGCACGACGTGCACGTCTCGCACCACGTCTCGGGCGCCGGATCTTGTGTCGCGACGACAAAGGCTCGAACACGGGCGAGTGCGCCTTTGCGTAGTCTCGACGACGTGGACAGGTCGTCGGCAAAGTGGTAGAGCAGCAACATGTTGTCTTTGCTTGGGTGACTCTCCAGGATGCGCGTGTAGTAGGCCATCGCTGACGCATCGTTGCCGTTGATCCAGTAGGCCAGACCCAAGTTGGCTCGCACTAGACATTTCGGACGGTGAGAGCCACGCCTCATGCAGATACCAAACCATCACGAAGCTGGTCGCGCAGCTGGCGCGTGAGCTCGGCGCGCTGGGCCAAAGACGCTTCGAGTTGGAGGAGAAGCGACGTAGCCTCTGGTACGCTGTTCGTCATGAGCTGGAGCGCCGCGACGTTCATCTTGTGGAGAATGGTGTCGCTGTTGTCGGGCCCGAGCGTCCGCTCCGCAGTAGCCGCGAGCCGCTGACTCAATGGGAGCGCGATCGCGAGCTCACCCATAAACATGTACGCGCCAACGAGGTGCGATGCGGTCACCGTCGTCGCAGAGTGGTCGGGGCCGAGGGTTGCTTCAAGTATCGTCAGTGCTTTTCGGAGCCAGCGCGCGCCGACGCGATGAGTACCACGTTGACAATAGATACCGCCGATCGTCTTCATCTTGTCGGCCGTGCGCTGGTCGTGGAGGCCGTACTTGTGGCGTGAAATGTCATAGAGCTCAAGATAGAGCGGCAACGCCATGTACAAGTCGTAGTTCCAGCTAAGTGCGAGCGCATAGCTGGATCGCGCGTGCAGCGTCGAGTCGTGCGTCTCGCCAAAGTGCTCGGTCGCCGCTTGGATCGTGGCAAGACTGAGCGGTTCCCACTGGCTTCGGGGCTTGCGCTGGTAGGCAATGCAATAGGCCAACGTCACCTGCGCATGAAGTGACTCGACGGCGTATCGCCTGTTGGCAAGCGTAAACAAGTTGACGGCTTGGCGGAAGCAGCGCTCGGCGTCGGCGTGTTGAAACTCGCCTTGTATCGCAACTCCGAGGTTGGCCCATCGCTGGGCTTTTGCGGCAGGCGTGGGCGCCGATGCGATCGAAGCCTCGAGCGTCGACTTGATCCAGTTCGTCAAAGTGGAGAAGATGAGCCGGTCGACCGCGATGAATGACGTCTCGGCGCGTATCAAAGCAAAAATACCGTCGCGGTCACTGGGCACACTGGCCTCGGAGTTTTCGCTCTTGATCGTCGCCTTCATCTTTTCAAATGCATGGAACTGAGCAATGTCATCGAGAAACGTCGTTTCTTGATCATGCGCCAGTGCAATCTCAAAGCGCGCGCCCA